AAAAAAAAAAGAAAGAAAGAAAGCCAGCCTGAGATGCATAGCAAGACCTGTCTCAAAAAGCCCAAAAAAAAAAAAAAAAAAGCAACCGTACTCTTCAAAATGCATATAGCGCATGAAGTGGGATGTTTCCATACGCATCTAAATAGATACTGACCCAGGGACTATGGCGTTTAGTAAAGCGCTGAGCTCTCCACTGCTGAAAATCGCTTAATAGCAAACACCGCTGTACTCTGAGGGTTTTACTTAACAATCAAAGGTCGTGGACAGTGACATAAATGAAAGCCACCAAAATTGAACTCAGGACCTTGCGCTTGCAAGCGCTTATTCTACTGTGCTATGTCCCCTACCGGCTCATAGTATTTTCTGTTCTGCTTTGTTTGTTTTTCGAAGCAGCTTTGCGGTACCGGGCTCCAGTTCACGGCAGCTTCCCGAGTTGCTGGCCTCACCCTCCCGGCACAGGTGTGCGCCACCACTGCAGCCAAAGTTCCTTTTTAAAAGTGCGACCCTGTGGACAGTGTCTTCAGAAACTGCCGAATGAACAGCTCCCTCGTTCCTGGCCTCGCACTCCCTTCTCTGCTGTGCCTGAACTTTATGTAGGCTTTGTGGTTTTCCAAATCAATTTCAAATTTATCAGCTCTTGAGCTCCTGACTTTACCCCTAGTTCCCAGCACAGCACTACAGGCCCTTGTCCTGAAGACTGCCTCTAGGATCCACTCTGAGCTACCTCTGCAGGCTGCAGGCCATTTTTTGTTTTTTGCTTCCAGAACTTCTGTATTGTTTCTTTATTATTATTATTATTATTAATTCTCCTAAATTATTTTTTAGGAAAGAAGCAGTTACTGCTTTAATTTGTTTTATCTCCTTTTTTCAATTGTTTCCCTTTTTCTCTTAATTTCTTACACATTTTTCTTTCTTGTTTCAATTTTACATGCAGGACCGGGGATATAGCTCAGTAGAATAAGCGCTTGCCTAGCAAGCACAAGGTCCTGAGTTCAATCTCCAGCACCACCAAAAAAACATTTTACGTGCATGTATCTGGTAATATGAATAACTGATTGGAAGACAACACTATGTATTACGATAAATACTATGAAATTCACATTACTTTGTTAAGTGAAATTCTGTACCACTTGTAATTTTTTTGTTTAAATTC